GATCTAACAGCAGTTCAAGTACCCATTCAACCATTGTCAGTATCTGTCTGTCAGGCAACCTACACAGAGCCACTGCTAGCAGGACGATCCCAAACCCTGTGGATAGAGCCAGAACCAATCATTATCAAGGCGCCATCACCCAAACCAATGGTATTTGCAGCTCCACCACTACCACAAACCAATGACTTTAGTTGTGGTCCTCTTCCTACATCTTCGGTTGGCAAAAAATTGCAGGTGTCACCTGAGCCTCTAAACTCAACAATAGCTCAAGCTAGCTATGTTGAATCACCAATCGTTGCCTATGAAACAAATGTTGTACAGTGCAGAGTGCCAGAAATGCTCGGCAAAAAGCTTCAAGTTGCTCCTGCCCCTCTAATATCGGAAACTTCACAGGCTCTCTATATAGAAAAACTGCCTATTCCATTTGTTATCAGTCGATCGCAGTCAATATGGGAAGAGCCTCATCCTGCGCCACATGCAAGAATGACTGTTCAGACTATCTACTCAGAATCAAGTCTTCCTATATATGAAAGTGGTTCAGTTCAGTGTAGAGCAGTTGAAATGCTTGGGAAAAAACTACAAGTGATGCCAAAGCCACTGACTGTAAGTGCCTCACAAACATCCTATGTTGAGCCAGTTCCTGCAACACTTGGCGTTACCCGAGTTCAGTCCATGTATGAAGAGATGGTAATTAGTGTTGAAAGAGCTCAAGTTTTTTGGGAAGATCCTGAGCAGATCATAATCAAACCACAAACTCCCAGAACAGTTGTCATGGCCGTACCCACTCAATCTACGACTGACTTCAGTTGTGATCCTCCTCTTCTAGACACTGCGAGCAAAGAACTTCAAGTTTCCACAGAACCCCTATCGAGAGCCGTCGTTAACATCACTCCAAAGCTTATTCCGATGGTCGTATCCAGAGGTCAGACGGCATATGTCGATGAGGTCATGCCTACTTACTCGAGCAGTGCTGTCCAATGCACATCCATTGAAACCACGAACAGAAAACTTCAGGTTACACCACAACCCCTGTCCCTCAAAATGAGTAGATCAAGTGTAATTCTAGTTGAATCAAAGGAAGCTATTACCACTCATGGGAAGAAACTACAAGTTGCACCTGAACCAATGGCTACGGCTATTATGCAATCACCAGATGCACAGTTTGCAACAAGAAGTAGACAAACGGTCTCCATGGAGAAACCATTGTCTACCTATTCAAGTTGTGGTGTCCAATGTCGACCTGTTCAAACTCTTGGAAAGAAGTTGCAAGTATTACCAGAACTTCCGAGTAGGATAAGCATACAATCAGTGGTTGAGGAACCGGAAAGGGTGGTTTACGAAACAACTCACGTTCAAGCTAAACCTGCAGAAACCATCGGTAAAAAGCTTCAGGTACAACCTCCACCTCTACTATCTACAACAGCACAAACTGCTTGGGTATATAGAGCAAGCAGCGATGCCACCAGTGGTACAGATGCGATTTCAACAGCACATGCATCAATAGAACCAATAATGATAGAAAAATTCGGGAAAAAATTACAAGTCTCCCCTGAGCTTATGAGTATTGCAGTCATTCAGTCAGGTCAATCAGAAACGATACCCAGAACTCGCCGCTTGACCATTGGTCGAGCATACACAATTAAGGAAATAGCTCATATTGACCACAAAGGAACGCAATTCGTGTCAGAAGGTGTATTAACATCTATACAACCCGTAGAGGTTCAGAAATTTAATAAGAAGCTGCAAGTACAGCCATTGGCACTATCTTCGATACCAGCGCAAACACTTTGGGAAGAACCGATTGTCATCAGACCTCTTCCTTCTGAGGGCATTGTAATGACAGCACCTCCCATAGAAACCTATGATATGGGATGCGATCCTTTGCCCTCTATGGAAAAGATAAATAAGAAATTAATGGTGAGGCCACCATTAATGGAAACTACCCATGTACAGTCAACTGTAGAGGCAGCAGAAAGAGCTTTGTTGAGTACCCAGGAGGTACAGGCTGATATTCCTTTAACAACACCCATCATTAAACCAACTTCTCCGGTCCAACGTGATTATGAAGCTCCTCCAATTGTGCGGGAAACCTATGAGACAGGAACGCAACATGAGATCAATATGCGAAACGTTCGAATACAGAAATATTTCGATGCATTCGAAGGCACAGCCAACGTTGGCATTCAGTTTTCGCCGCCAGCGATACGCAGATCGCCACCAATTACGCGTGTACGCACAGCTGATAGCGGAGTTCAGTTTAACCCTACAACAATGATTGGAATTACTCAAACGTTGCCAATAGAAAGGGCTCCTTCACCAACAAGACCATCCATATTCACAGAGAGTACTCAAACCGAGGTTCAGAAAGGAGATGCAAATCTCTTCTCTTTTATCCGTGAGACTAAGACAAAAGTGTTAAAAGAGCGTAGGGCTAGATCCCAAGGTCTCATTTCTTACAAGACCCAAGTGCCTTCTCAGCTTAGAGATCATGCTGTCAGCGTCCCGTCAATGCTCCATGTTATGGAATCAGGTGCAGAACAATACTCATATCAACAGCAGAGAACTACATCTACACACGTTCCTAAACGGTATGGTAGAGGAGGAACTTATGATAGGCGCTTACGTTCACTGGAAACTATGTATGAAGATGGAAGAATCAGAGGTTTGCAAGGTCGGTTACCAAGACATAGTGAAAGCGACCTCTACAGAGAAAACGTCTACATGGGGGAGATTTTACGGACTCAGCAACAACAGCTTGAAGAAACGAGTATGGATCACCTTCAACGGATTGTGCGGTCTATTGGTATGGAAAGAGTGCAGTCGATGCTAAGGCGAATCTGGGAGGAAGAAGAAGAAGAACATGCTATATATGAGGAGATCTATGGTAGAATGTACACTCCAAGACCACTCCCTGCTCTAAGATATGAAGATGTGGGAACTCAATATGCAATCCCAGCATATGGAATCGTTTATGCGACTGATTTCGGTGTGCAAGCAGGTAATTCACATGTGCAATGGATACCACTCGCCTCGGGTCAAACTGTCCAAATTGAAAGCGAAGAAAGCACAGACTACGATGAAGCTTACGAATGGGATCCGTATCAGTCTGCCTGGCGTCCAAGAATGAATTCCTTCCAGTGGGTAGCTAGAACAGGCTTTGACTTCGCAACACTTACAGAGGTAACTGAAGAAGAGGAGAACCAGTTTATTGATCGTCTGTTGAGAAGTCCAGCGCTGAGTGCTTACACCAGTGATTTCGAAATGCAGCAAGCTGGAATTAAACTCAACTACCCAGAAAGTGGAACTGTGAGTGTGGTCTCATGGAAACCTCAATATATGGATGGTGAAGATCAATTAGACGTCGATACAATTGGTCGGTTGTTAAGAGTTTCACTGGTAGGTGCTAGAGTTCCTGGAACAGGTGAAGTCATTTCTGCTGCTGACGCATTCTACAGGGGTATTCTCCGTGTGGTCTACGTAGATGATAGCCGTGGTAACATCATGCCCCTACCAACAGCAATAGTTGCTAATGCAGTGATTGTCGAAAAGCAATATCTTAGAGGCGTTGGAATTGCATTACATAGCACTTCACTAAGGTTCCCCGTGGAATGTCAAGAAATGTGGAGAACACCGACACTTCGAAGGCGAACCTATAGAGTCAATTATATTCAGAAGTCCCCCAATGAACGAGTTGATCTTTCCAAAGCTTTAGACGAGGGTCTAATAGATTTAACAAGTGGCGAACTTGTAAAGATAACGCCAGTAACATCAGAAGCTCAACTAGAACCGAGAGAATCAACTTTGGAAGCTGGTGAACCAATTGCTGAAAGTTCACAACCAGAACGATATAGTGTACATGAAGCCATCCTCAATGATATCCTCAATGTAGAACTTTTAGCTCCTGAAACTGTCATCTTTCCAAGCACTGAAGTGCCTCAAGAAGGCGTAATCCATGCAGGTGAAACCTCAACTAAAAGCCCCGGTCCTGAGGAAGAAGGTTCAGATATGGAAGTATGAGATTTTGGAAACAGCAGTTAAAAACGATAACAAACAATAGAACTTTAATGTGCAGTAGGATTAACTTCTACTTTCCCTCCTTAAATATTTTGTAGTCACTACTATTATATATTGAATCAACTATTCATTATTTCAAAATACCCATACCATATCTATTTATTTTCACTCATGCTAATGATCACAAATCTACGTTTCCCCCTGGATATAGAGTAGAGTTGAAATAGAGAAAGTGGAGTTCTCAGTAGGAAACATTGAATGAAAGAATAACACACGAGCATTGAATTGCAATTTTGAGGCTATTCATCAGACACGAATGATGAGATCAGTACGGAATCTTTACTAGCACATTTCGACGAGAGCATATCAAGCTGTACAAATACATATAGAAATCGATAAATAACTCCACAAGTCTGTTTAAATTTAAAATAAACGGCTGACGGTGTAGATTAGACTGTTTGATTACATTTTATTATTCCGAGTTAGTGACAGGGTTTGACCATCTATCACACCAATGCCGGTAAAATTTATGTACGAAGAGATAGCCTTCTAGAGTATAGGAAGAAGAGATGAAGTATATTGATGATACTGTTTGGAATAGATTAAGTAAAAACGGCCATTAGGCATAAAACCTCGTGGATGAGTTTTTGTTGCAATTCAATGCGCGAAACATGGTGTTTGAATTTGAGTGAACCATCTACTAAATACTCATCGGAGAATCAATTTAAAAATCACATGACTGCCCCTGATACTGGGCCCTTTTGCTGGTACCTTGTTGAGAACCTCAGCTTTACCATACTTTAGATTGACGGCCTACAAATTTAATAAAGAGAAACGCCTCTAAATATGCTCAATCGACTGCGGCTTTATTCTTTTCTGGAAAATTTAGTTATTTCAAGAAAAAACATTTACCCGTTAAGCGACTGAATACGCAGCGAGCACTTTACCAGAAAGCGTTTTTCGCGAGAAAATAAGTCGCCGCACCCAGTGTACACCCGCTGGGCAGATTGACTTGTTCGGCGTGTTAATTCTGGTTATTACACAGGGTGATTAGAGGAGATCAACATGACTCATCGAGGTTCAAGATGAGCTTTGGAAACTCTCCTAATTGGAATTGGAAAGTAAAGGGAAATTAGGATGAGCATTCTGTGAAAGAGGTTAAAAATGAGCTTACTTGAGACCATTGTATTGTAGACTACACACCTCCGCCCAATTGATAAAGAGGGAATGTGACATTAGCAACGTGGTTGTCTCGAGGTAATTGACAAAGTCATGTGACTCAAGTTGTCTGGCTAAATATTTGCCATTTATTGGTCAATCAAAAGGACTGATGGTGGAAAGACCAATTGGGTCTTTCTTTTAGTGAAATCCCCTAATTTCTGTTCGGGGTATGCCTATGTGGTAAGACGAGATCTTTGTTTGTTGACAGAGTTAAAGGAGCTTTTTGTTTTCATGCGCTCTAATCTTGACTAGAAATAAAATAGAGCTCAGAGAGCATGGAAGGAAAAGAATTTTACTTCAGTTTTAGTTACAATGAGAAGGCGAATGTATGAAACTAGAAATGTGAAAATCGATTTTTCCCATCAGCATCTGACGTTAGCAGGCCCACTGGTCATTGTAGCCTATTCCATTCAGTCAATTTTCCTTCTTGCATGAATACTATTGTAAATCAATCCATTTGAGTGAGCATGATACCTCTAAATGTAAATTTCAGGAGAATTCAACCGAAAGTCAAAAGTTTGCTTGCATTGGTAATCGTTTGTGCAATTCTACTTTGTTGAGTAGCACTAGCAATTGCTATTCTAACTTCGAAGCAGTCAATGGAGAAAGGTCCAATGTCCTGGGTCATGCTGAAAGTGACATTGTGAACGCATGATGCCCTAAGTCCACTTTAATTCATTTCTAAAGAGCGATTTTGAAAGCAGTTCTGCTTGAAGTTGTTATCACTAGAGCACTAATTTGGGGTTAAAATCGCTTATAACGTTAAATGTTCACTAGAAAATATCCACGGAGAGTTATTTCTGTTAAAAGAATAGTCCAGAAAATGATTGCTCACTTCAGTACTGCAGATTCAGTGGCTAACGCACAACCTAACCATTCATTAAAAGATATTCAGCTTTTCACGAGATTCTGTTAATAGCACAAGGATTGTAACTAGACTTCTGGGCTGAACACCACACTACCGTCGTGTCAGAACATGTTTAAGCAGTGAAACATGCGAGAGTACTAAGTTGGAGTGTATACCTTAATGGACAGTGAAGAGTTGAAATGAACATTCTTAATGTGATTGCGGATATTACACCAAAACTAACTTGTAAAAGTAGCCCAAAACACGCTGAGACGAGCTGAGTTGCGTATCAAAGCTGATGGGGACACTTTCAGCTTGTTGTCATTCTTGTTAGTCTCTATTCCCAACTTTTAAATAAAAATGTAATATAAATAAACTTATTATTGATCTCACGTGACCTCTTTATTTGGGCCACGTGGTACGATATCATTCAAAGAAAATTTTATGGCTACTGAAATACGTAATATACTGTGGTTTATATTGCTATACACTTTGCTTAGATTTTGATATTCTGTTGACGGTTCAAAACATCTCTCAACTGAGTACAGTGAGTACACTTTTTTTATTTTCAAATCATCCTTTGAAATCATGATCGCTCTCTCCAACATCTCAATCTTCTGGAGCTACATGTTCATACTTAGCACAAAATACGGACCAAATGGCGTCTATTTACTGCATTCTGTTGTGCTGACGTCCTCGTGTATGCACTAACATTTCCAATAACCGAACTAACTTTCTAACCTGTTGTCAGATATCTATAAGGGTCAACTTAGTATTAATACCTAATGTCGATGTTACATATATATGGGTTTTCCCGACACAATATCTCCTGCTTGTTGGCCGTTTAAAAGCATAATGAGTCGATCTTGTTGGTTCAATTTATTTCTATTTCCTTATTTGATCTTATAATAATAATATTCATCAACTTACAATATAGAAATAGGTCTAAGTTACCAGAGCTCCATATGCCATCCCCATTCAAACCGAGGGCTTTGATCTGGCAGTATCTATCAGGAGAATCGCCTTTCTCTTGTTGAATTACATTGTTATTATTATTTCAAATAGCAGTTCATTCGCTGTCTTCTGGCTTCCCAGTATCTCTAGGTTTCTGTTTTGGGCTGAACACCGAATCAGGTAGATCTTCTCCATTTTCTCCTGTAGGTCGCATAAGGAACATGTATGTTGAGCGTATACTTCTATTCTGTGCAGGTGCTTCGCCAGGCAATCGTGTCCGGTACGCAGACTAAACTCTGCAACAGCTTTGATTCTTGGCCGGTCGGCTATGTTGGAGAATGCAACTGTCCACTGCTTCTCCTTTGTTCGAGTTATAAGTTCATTGCTTCTTGAAGTCTTGAATTCTCCCTTGATTAAGGTCTTCATTGCGTGGAAAGACATCGGCCGGTCTGTGCCTTACAAAATTGTGGTCCCCTTCCTAGCAAGTGTGTCAGCTCGCTCATTACCTATAATGTCACCTTATCCGGGGATCCATTTAAGAACTACTGTTTTGTATTTTTCTCTAAGTAACTGATAACGTTTCTTAAATTCGCGTATCTCGGCTGGTTTGGTGGTTCTCTGTTTCCATTTGAATTTATTGCTGACTGCGAGTGCGAACTGGATAGATTGTAGTAGTAAAGATTTAGCAGATTCTCTCAAATGTGGATTATGGAACCATTCTACGTCCCCCTTATTTCATGGTTTTATTTCATGTATCAGGGCTTATCTGATAATCAACAAAAGGATTGAAAAATAGAGAGGGGGCGGAAACAAAACAGTAGTTAACAGAGTTTATTGGGTAAGGACTATTAACGAGAGGGAGAAAGGTGGCGCAGTTAATGAAAGCAGTTACAATAGATGCGGAGCTCAGAACGGGCAGGATGCGTTTGTACAAAGTTCTTTAAATGAGGAGAACAAGTACTTTTTAGTTGAATGTAAGGTCAAGGTGTTCTGAGAAAGGGCGTTTGCGTGCATGCAAATGTCATGCAGGTGTAAACACGGCCGTGCAAATTGGCAGAATATGCATTATGTTATTCCAAATGAACTTTTGATGATTATGAGAAATTAGTCGAAGTAATAGAAATCGCCATATGGGGCAGTGAACCGCCAAATAGTACTCCCCGCTTAGTCTGAAGACGGCGAATAGAACGAGTGACCGAAGTCAATCTTGTCATAAGAGTATCCCATTCGGTCGATGTGAAGTTTTCAAAGTTCAAATGGGTAACCCAATTTAAGATGCTGACTTTGTTTTGAGGGAAAGCACTCATGTGGATTGAGTGCTTGGATATCTTGTTGGGTCTATTGCAATGATGAGAAAACCATGTCCAAGTCTACACGTTGGTTGGGGTCCCAGAGAGAGGTGTTGGGAGGAGACAGATGTCATTATGATAGTTACGATACTAGGGTCTGTTGGCGTGGATATATGCACATCTAAGATACTCTTTTCAAGTTTCTTTCCATCGTCCGTTATAGCAAAATGCACTAAGGAGGTTTAACAAGTTCATGGAATTGGACTATGAGATGATGAGGTGCTTAATCTTAAGCAAAGTCAAAACTAGTGAGTAGAAAATGCGAGTGAAGAAAGAAACCTATTCGAGCAGAGCCTTTTGAATAGTTAAAACTGCAAATGAGTTTGTAATCAAAGATATACATATTGAAAGCCAGCAAGAATTTCCATAGGCCTTGTTCGAAATAAAATGTTGCGCTATGTTATTTTTAGCTAGTTAGTTGCTAACAGACTTATGACTTGGAATACGTTTGTTTAAAAAGTGTGTCTCAGACAGGGAGCTTAGTCAGTCTAATACAACGGAGGGTTTGCTAAATAAGGGAAGGAATATTGATTAATGGTTGGCTGGGTAGTCTCCGTGCTCACGACGCACTTACTGTCTTAGAGAAACTGCTCAACCACTCCTTTCAGACCGTTTGAGTGAGCGTACGATTC